AATTGATTTTTTTATCATTAGAGAAAAAAATGGATTCCATCTGTGAGTGAAGAAATAAAAAAATGACTGCTGCAATAAGAAGGTCAAAAAATTGATTTTTTGGAATGAAAAATTGCTACCAAACGGGAGCTAAGTTTTTATCTTGTGGAAAGATTATTGTCCACATTTTATTCAAGAAATCTTAAGGCACATATAAACGGATACTATGTCAGGTTATACCTGAATTTTTATAATGAGTAATTGTTAGTAAAAAAAACTATAAAATTGGGAGCAAACTAGTAAAACTTTTAAATGATTTATAAATTCAGTTAAAATCAAACATTAATTTAAATTACTCATTTATAACTTTTGCTCATTATTGCCCACATAATTCATAGGATTCACTATTATTCCTCTTTATAAATCATTCATAAATTTGTTAAATAGCGGTTTAGGTCGCTCCAAATTCCAACTGTCGAGGAGTTATATCATTTTCGTCCTTTCAATCTTCTATCTCTTCTTAGAATGACCCTATTTACCCCATAAAACTACTTTATTATGTCGAGAAAGGAGGCCTATATACCTTAATTCTAATAAATGTTGAGAAATAAAAATTGAAGATTCAATTCCTACAACACCAAAAATGGAAAATCCAGATACGACCATGCAAGTTTGACATACCAACTAAGTAACACTCTATTTTGAATAAGAAAAAAGCTACACTGTCAGAAAATTTTTGATACAATGGATGAAAGATACTCACATTGTCATGGGACCCACATGAATATAATATTCCAAAAAAAAGTGGGCCCCTCTCTTGTTGTGAGTGTTCTGTCATGGTATTGGTCACCAGTTTTCTGATAGTGTAACATACTTCTTTGAATAATCAAATATCGCCCGTGCAAATTGTTAATAATTGGCCAAATTTGAAGGTTGACTTTCTTTTTCGAAAAATTTTATAAAGGCTAGCCTGAATTTAAATTTTAATAAAATACTTTTTAACTTAGCCTGAAGCCAGCAAAAAGGACTTGTACTTGTTGTCTTGTTTAGGTATTTTTTTTTCTTTTTTTTGTCAAGGTGTCCACTTTCGGCAACTATTTCTTGGGTCTGTGATCCGACTTCTCTTCACAATTGTCTTGTATAAAATTGTTCACATGTTAAATAAGACAAGACAACAGGGCAAAATTCAGACAACTAGGAAAACAGTTAAAGATAATTAGTTGACTAATCCTATTTATTCTTTCATTAATTATTGCAATTTGTCATTCTTTACCTATCATATAATATCTAGTATTTTTATTCATACGCGTGTGAGAATGATGTCGATCAATACGGTAAAACCTTTTGAATATTCGAAGTTTTTTATTGTCTTTATATTTTATTGATTGTTACATGCACGTTTACGAGATTCATTACTACCGTACCTACAATCTAATCTTTTGTGTTTGAATGATTTTAAAATTTTTCGAGTATATCTAATTCAATATTTTATCTAATTTTATAAAGATTCTGTCATTGTTCACTCGCTTGTAAAAACACTAACATACTATCTGACTAGGCATTCCAAATTAGAGTACAAGAATGGTCCAACATTGCAATGTTTTTTTGGAGTAAAACCATAATTCATAATTCGACATTTCATGTAAAATAATCATAATCCTAACTCCCTATAATGACGGTGAAAAATGTTATAGTCTGTTCAGTATTGATTATGAGAATTGATTTTTTTTATCATTAAAGAAAAAAAGTGGGTCTCATCTGTGAGTGAAGAAATAAAAAAATGACTGCTGAAATAATAAAATAAAGGTCAAAAAATTGATTTTTTGGAATGAAAAATTGCTACCAAACGGGAGCTAAGTTTTTATCTTGTGGAAAGATTATTGTCCACATTTTATTCAAGAAATCTTAAGGCACATATAAACGGATACTATGTCAGGTTATACCTGAATTTTTATAATGAGTAATTGTTAGTAAAAAAAACTATAAAATTGAGCAACTAAATGGGTCAGAAAAATCTAACGACGAACTTGGAATTTTGCGAACACTCGATTGATGAAATTGACTCGTCAATTATCAAATGATATGAAGTTTTTGGTTTAGTGGAATATGATAAAAAGTAACATGCAAAATTTTTGATTTCTTTAGTTAATAATAATAATAATAATAATGATAATAATAATAATAATCATTATTATTATTATTATTATTATTATTATTATTATTATTATTATTAGATAGAGGAATGAGTAAATTTTAAGACAGATAATCTGATTTTCTAATATAATGTATTTGAATGGAGGCTGCTGCCTTTGAAGTCGTGATTTTTGAAAATTAGTTCTGTTCACATCTGAGTTCTTGCAGATGGCAATGGTCATTGGTCAACCTCATCAAAATATCTTATATATTCTATCATTCTTCTTGGGCAAAAAATATCCGAAATTAATTAATTATGCAATATGAGAAGAAAAATAAGTAATTAAAATAAAAATTTAATCAAATTGGATTGACTAGTAATTTAATAACTACAGTATAAAGTCAACGAAATGCAATTTGGTTTTTGGAATATGAAATATCAATATTTCCCATTTAATACGGTCATGTGCGTTGATATAGTAAACATTTTTTGGAAATTTCATACAAAGCAATGCTTTTGAACCATTTTACGAGTTATATTATAGTATTAAAAAATTGGTTTATTAATTATTTATTTCATTTCAATATTGTTGGCTACTCTATCAAGTTATCAACTATAGATAAAATTGCCCATTGAATTTAAAACCCTAGTATTTAGCCTTAGTATGTTGGTAGGCTTTTGACTCGATCTAATAGCCACCATACAAAAAATAAAATAAATACATAAATAAAATATTATTGCCCAACCTCAAGTAGAATTCAATATTAATTGATTTTTCAGAAGTAGAAATCAAGCACCGACAATGCCGAGTAACTTCAAAAAGAGGATATTCATCTTCGTACGACCAAGCTATAATTTTTATTGAAAGTAAAGTAGTTAATTTTACTAAACAGAATCATCATCTCTACTAGTATAAGAAATGAAAATTTGAAATATAATCGACGTGGCTCACAGAGGTTGGGGTAGAACTAGCAAACGAAGAAAAATTATGGCCACTTTTTTTTTTCCAATTCCGAGGAACTAGACTGATAGGAATCAACAATTATTTCTTTCACAAAGACTACGGTATCATTTAACACTAGAACGCTAATAGTTAAAGCATAATTAGATTGTAGACTTTCGAAAACAATTAAAAATCCTATGTCCTGCAGCATCGACTCAAAGTTAGGGATGTCAACGAGCTCGAGCCTAGCTCGACTCGGTTAAAATGGTCAAGCTTCTTTACGAGCCCAAAAAATTTCGGCTCGAGCTTTTATGGGCCGAGCCGGGCAGGTTGTTCCAAGCCACGAGCCGGGTCGACTCGAGCTTTTTTCGAGTCGAGCCGCCGAGTTTTTTTGACACCCCTACTCGAAGTGCACCTTTCTTTAACAAATGTGCTCGAGTCGAGCCGCCGAGTTTTTTTGACACCCCTACTCGAAGTGCACCTTTCTTTAACAAATGTGGATTTTCTAACCCGGTAACACTAACAATAAAGGAGAAAAGGAAAAGATCTTCTCATAATCATTGACTCGCCTAGAGAAACATAAAGACGTGACCATAGCATCAGCATACGCTGTCGTTTTGTGTTGGCACGTTAAAAGAGTAAATTTCAGTTGGGGTCCCAACTTTTGCTAACTGTGTCATCTCTAACTCAACCTATGAAAAGTGTGCATAAGTCATCCTCATCTCGAAAAATATCATTTTATGTTTTAATTAAATTAACACACAACACCCACGTGATGTCTCCTAAAAGAATAAAAATATTAACAGTAAACTAACATGCAGTACCCACGCGATGAATTGTATAGGTTTTACTAGAAAATAAATGTGTTTTACGAACGACCAGTTATAGGAAGATTTTACAAAAATAACACGAACTTTAGACATTTTTACCCTTTAGGAGACATGTTGTGAGTTTCACATGTTAATTCAATAGAGTAATGCTATATGTACAAATTAAAGATGATTCTCATTTGCGATGATATTAAATGATAAGGTCAATAAAGTGAGTAACGTATCTACATATTTAATTAACATTTGCATTTCATCTTATATTACCTACTACATCACATGATAATCGTCTATAATATTATTCAATTTAATAGCTTAAATAACATTTTTCGATTAGTTGAGAATCACTGATGTAGAGATGGTAATGAGACATGTCCGTGTTGAAGCACCCTCATCGTTAGTGATGACACGGGCCGCTAGCCATTTCATGCCATCATGTTGCCTCATGCTACTCTTAAGACAATAGAGGGATAGGTACGAGTTCGAGTGAAATCAAGCATTCATTTGCTTTGTCTATTGCTCGGTTTCATATTATATGTTTATTATTTTTATTATTACTTTCTTTATGAAATTCAACTTTTCTTTTTAAATAATAATAAACATGAAGGGATAGAGCGCTCGATTTCCATCCTTTCCCCCATCAACTCACAAAGCAAGAAATTCCCACATCATTTGAGTTCGGGTTTGTGGCTTGACCATGGTTGTGGCCATCCCTCCCCTTGGAATCAAATATTCTTTAGAGGCAGGGTAGGATGAAGCGAGGATTGAAGTATTCTAAATTGGAGCTCCGTTAATTAATTAATTAATTATTTATTTTTTAAATATAATTTCTAAATTTTAAAACCTAAAATCAAAATAAAATTTAATTTTTTTTTGAGAGGGTTCATGGAATTTGGAAGTAGGGATCATGTATCGCTTTCCGTCTTGAATGGGAGGGACGGGGGAATAATATACAACCATATTCCTCTAGAAGCACTTTTTTCCTTCATTGGGATCCTATGTTCACAATTAGCAAAGGTCGGGACTTGGCCTAAATTTACCCCAAAAATGCCAATTTCGTTTCACCATGTTATAAAATTTTTACTCCAACGTTTTTGTTGATTTCTGGGTTGTCAATAATTCTTCTGTATTTTTTCCCGGAATCCGCGTTTGAAGGGCTTACTTTCTTTGACCATCCTCCTCACTCCTCTCTCTATATTTGTGTATATTTTATGAATAGGATGGTGTGTATATATTTCTTGTTCCACAAAAAGTGATTCAAATATCGAAGCTTTGAATTGGTACAAATTTGAACCAGACCCATCATTTTCTCCATTCTTTCAAGAAAATATATAGAAATTTCTTTGTTAAACTGATACTAGAAAGAATTCATACCCGTGTTTAAAGGTCCAGTTGACTCTACTTTTGAATTTATTTTCCAGCATTTCACACATTGGAGCAGCCGAGCAGGGTATATAAACGGGGATATATTCATTCAGAATCATATTACAATAAAATCTTTTCCAGAGTGCAAGAGGGTTTACATTTCTGGTGAGTAATCTATGATTATCTTTGTAAAAACCCGTGATGATTATGGCTTTAATTACAATTGCCAAGGTTTTGTTTTTGCCTTTATGATTGTGATTGGTATTCTTGGTCGCGTCAAAAATTTTTTGGTCAAATTTAGCTTTTAACTTGATGAAGATTGGTCTTTCTCAATAATTGAAGTGTCAATTTTTAGGAAGCATTTCTTGGGAATTATGTATTGCTTATGATGCTGGAAAAAAAATAAAATAACTTGGTGCAGACATTTCTGCAGATGAATTGATGGATTAAATCTTCGATTTTCAATTATATTTTGTAATTGAAGCAAGTTTTTGTCATTTTTCGTGTTTTGTAATCTCCGTTTTTATTGCTTTTTTCGGCTTGGGAAGGAATTATCAGACGAAGAAGTTGTTTTGATTTGGCATTTGGTATCAGTTTATCTTCAGGAAACTCCGGGGATGACTTTAAGAACGAACAGCTTTGATAAAGCGGATTCAATTGCCATCACAACGGCAAAAAGATGCAAAAAGATGGTTAGAGAGAATTCGATAAACTTGGGGAACTTCGAGCCTGCAAAATTAGTCCTTGAAACGACTCTTTCATTCAAAAATTTAGTTCAAGAAATAAGAAAACCAGAATCTGATAATGAGAAAGTTGATACTAGCGAACTCCCGGAACCAGCCATAATGTTTTCTCCAAGACCTGTTAGTGAGCTTGATGCAGCAGCAGTCAAGCTTCAAAAAGTCTACAAGAGTTATCGGACTCGAAGAAACCTTGCAGATTGTGCAGTTGTGGTCGAGGAGCTATGGTTAGTCTTTAAGACAAGTCTAGAATATATCGTCATTTGTTCGTGTATGTTATATGCCATTAACTGGTTATATTTGACGTTTATAGGTGGAAGGCTTTAGACTTTGCGGCTCTCAAGCGGAGCTCTGTTTCATTCTTCAACGATGAGAAGCCTGAAACTGCAGTTTCTCGGTGGGCTAGAGCCCGGACGAGAGCGGCCAAGGTTGGAAAAGGATTGTCAAAGGATGAGAAGGCTCAACAACTGGCCCTACAGCACTGGCTTGAAGCTGTAAGTCTCCCCTGAATCTTTCAAATGCATCTATCCAATAGAAGTTTTCATAAGAAAATCATTGATTTTACGATTTCAATAGGTCGTATTAAACTCCTGTTTGATGGCCATTATTTGGCAAAAACAAAGTCTTGAACAGTAAATTTTTGGAGAGTGTGTAGTTAAAAAGTTGGAAAAGTTGTGGGTATACGTACAAAATATTTAATTGTGTGAAATTGTGGTTGAAAATGAATATGTTGAGAAAAAGCATTTTTGGATAATGGTTGTTACACAATCATTAATTTTGTTTCTCATTTGTCATTATATTTTTATTGTAGATTGATCCACGTCATCGGTATGGACACAATTTGCATCTCTATTACGACGTTTGGTTCAAAAGTGAAAGTGCGCAACCTTTCTTCTATTGGTGAGTAACCTCTTCAACCCCTCTAATAAGCATTAAAGACTCCCTTTCCTAAAGAATGGATTCCAATTCTTGTAATTTGTTATAAAGATAATATTTTTTGCTGACTTTCCGTACAATATTGATTATGTTATGTGAAGGCTCGATGTTGGAGACGGAAAAGAAGTGAATCTTGAGAAGTGTCCAAGGGCCATATTGCATCGCCAATGCATCAAATATCTAGCACCTGTAAGTTCAAATTATCGCAGAATTTATATTGTTATGTTGTGCATATAGGCCGTAAAGTTGACGTGTGATCTACTTTTTCTTCTGCAAGAACGAGAGAGAACCATATGAAGTCATCATAGAAGATGGGAAGCTTGTGTACAAAGCAAGTGGTGCCTTTGTGGAGACCGCTGAGGGTTCAAAATGGATATTTGTTCTTAGCACGACAAGAATTTTGTACGTTGGGCAGAAGAAGAAAGGTCTCTTTCAGCATTCAAGTTTTCTAGCTGGTGGGGCCATCACAGCCGCTGGAAGATTAATCGTTCATGACGGAGTTCTTGAGGTAAATATTCGTATTTGATCACCATAGTTCGAAATGCAGACTAATATGTGCTTCTTTTTTAGATGTGAGTTTGATGATTTTGTAACGTCCTTGCAGGCGATTTGGCCATACAGTGGACACTACCACCCGACCGAAGAGAACTTCAGGGAATTCATAAGCTTCTTGGAAGAGCACCGGGTAGATCTTGTTAATGTAAAGGTAATTGCTCCATATTTTCTAAACTGAAACTTACCTATATTAATCTAGTTGATTAACCAATTTTGTCTAACACTTGGTGGTTTCTCTTTTGTTCAGAGATGTGCAGCTGACGATGATTACCTTCCTTCTGATAAGGATCCTAATGAGGAATCGCTTCGGAGATCAACTTCTGAAGCCAAACTATCGGAAAATACTAACGCATCTGAGTTCAATGGTTTGACCACGGAACGAGAAATTTCATCTTGTGATCAAAAGGATAAGCCGGTGTTTAACTTGTCTAAGCGCATGTCCCGCAAATGGACTACTGGTGCTGGACCGCGCATTGGATGTGTTCGGGAATACCCTGCTGAGTTACAATTCCGAGCACTTGAACAAGTTAACCTTTCACCTCGGGTGGCTAATGGACCACTTACCTACCATGGTCCAATCCCGTCTCCTCGACCAAGTCCGAAGATTCGACTTTCTCCACGATTGTCATACATGGGATTGCCTAGTCCGAGGACACCTGTTCCTGTAGGTAACTAAGCTTTTATAGGACATGGGGGCTGCCCTTCCTGATATAATCTGACTGTCGAATGAGGAAACTAACTCAATTCTTCATTATTTTATTCACTTATTCAGTTTGTTAATGGCTCAATTAAGTGCCAAATCATTTTTTTACTCATTTTAGCTAGTTGGAGGTCAGGTTTGATTGTTTTTTTCATTTCTTTTGTAAACAAAGTAGTCAAGAATTAATAAGTTGAAATTTTGATTTTATTTTTGTATTGTGAAATAAATAGCGAGGCTAGGATTTTGGGTTTGGATAACGAGGAGGGTCATTGGATGACAAGACAGTTGAACCAATCAGTCAATTTCACTTTCATAATTTCCTACTTATGGGATGTTTGATAGATATTTTTATGTAAAAATGTATTTTAGAATAGTAAATTGTTATGAAATGTGTGGTTGAGAAATATGGATTTTTTTTTATTTACATGCAATATTATTTTAATAAAGAATGTATAGTTGAAAAGAAGACAGAAAAATGCATTTTGAATAAAAATTGACTACCAAACAAGGTCTAAATTTCAAATTACAATAAAACATAACAAGAAACACGTTCAAAATAGTAAATCACAAACTTTTTATAGTTATATTTTATGTTCTATCATCAGTATGCATCTATATCAGATGAATAATGCTATATGTATATCGTGAGGTGTACACACGAAGATGTGAGGGGGTGTAAATCCGTTCTCCGTGTGTACACGGTTATGTACAACGAGCATTACTCATATCAGAGATCCAAAATAATAATAATAATAATAAAATGAAAAAATAAAAACTTGCTGGTTATTGAAACTAAGGACATGAGAGCTAAAGAAAGGGAAGTGGAGAGATGGAGATCATGCCTAGTGAAAAGATCAAAACATAAAAGCCCATGTAGTTAGAATGAGGTGGTTTTTTTTTTCCTTTTTTGGAAAAAATATATTTTTCAAACCTCTCAGTAACTAAAATGTTTAAAACGAACCAATGCAACCATTAATTTAGGGTTGCCGGGCAAATGTCGTTTTTTTTTTTTTTTTTTTTTGGGTCAATGTCTTGTTTGGTTCAAAGGAACTAACTAGTTAACTCGCCTCTATCAGGTTCTCTCTGAATCGACCAATATTGGTTGATGTAACAATATTGTATGTCATCTGAATTTTGGCCCTCAAAGTGCACCTTAGTGTAGGTGAGGCAACACACATCTTGAACATCATCAGTGCGAAGAATGTCAATTTCACTAGGGGCAAAGCATAGAAAGTTCATCAGCCCCAAGATGACACATGGTTAATACATTAGCATCATCCACTCTATACCAGGATTAGTGTATTTATTTTGAGGCTTACACCTTACAACAAAATAAGGTGTATCCCTTGCCTTCATTTTCCAATGTCATTGTTCATTTACGTAGTTTTTCAATCGATATTAGATTGTTACCTACTAATTATCACCATATTGCTTTAGCTCCGTCTTCTCTTGATTTTCATGTCGAGTTTCAAAGCCAAATTATTTTCCGTCATGATATTTATGAACTTGCATTTGACGCACAATTTAGACACATATGCTTTCATGATGATTTTTATGCTTTTTTTTACATTTTCTCTGGTACAATTTCCAAAACATGTAAGAACAAAATTGGATCTCACTTAAACTTAATCTATTTGATTGGTCATTACACTTAAAAAAATTAGCAGAATTGTTTTCTTATCGGGAAACATTGAAACCACCTTATAGCATTTATTTGTTTCTATAAGCTAGTCTACAGTGCTAATGCTTTGTGCTCTTGGGATTTCGTGATAGTTTTTGTGAATGAGATGCACATGTTGTTACTCATTGAGTTTTTTTTCACTACTTGAGTAAAATAAAAGATCGGCTCCCTTGATCAGATCAAATGCTTGGGAATGTTTTTCAAATTCAATTGTTGACATATGAAGGTTATCCTTATTTGTTTAGAAAAAATGATCACTCTCCTTGGTCAAAAAGTTGCAGTCTATCTCGTTGAAGTCGAATTCTATTAGCTAAGAAGAAATGATGGAATATTAAAAGGGATATTATTATATTTAATTTTCAACTTTGATGCGTATTTTAAAAAATATAATTAGGGTTTAATTTAATAGGAGTTAATTAGATATTTCCAACTTAGAATAGGATTTTTGAGAATCTTTATAAGGGGGGTCTTTCGTATTGTTATAGAAACAATTTTGATATATGAAATAAATTGATATTTTCTCCCTCTTTTTCCCTTCCTTTCTTTTCTTCTCTCTCCTTTCCTCTTCTCCTATGATTGTTTCATTGTTTCATAGTATCTTACGTAAGGTAATTTCCAAGTATTGCTCTTTAGTCTTTTCTCATCCTCTCTGTATATTATTAAGAAGAGTGATAGATGCAAACAACAACAAATTCATTGCAAATCCCATTATCTTATTCTTGTCTAATATTCTCAGTGTAATGGTTGTTTCAATTCCAAGAAGATATTTCAGCACTCTGCAATTTTGCAACCTTCATTGCAGACGAGGAAGAAGGTAGGAAAGGCGGATCACCAGCAGATCCTTTTCGAAGGAGGAGTTTGGGACAACTTATAAATGCTGAGAGTTTATCAGGAGGAGTCCAGTTACTAATATTTCCTTGGGCAAGGATGCCATGGTAAGCTGCGATTAGTAGTATTCTGATTGTAGATTAGAGCTTTCATTTCTGTATTCGAGTACTAGCATTTCACATAGTAGAAGAAATCTTGGACTGGAGACAAATCTTTTGTTGATGTATTGGCCCCTTATCTTAGGCTATGGCAAATCAGAAGCATCGTCCATGTATTTTAAGTTTCTGATTGAATTGTCCTACTGGAGTTGAGTGATTTGAAGCATCCTGCCTAGGGTAAGATCCATTTCTTGGGCAATATAGAATATCATAACAAGTTGGGGCAGCTAAGGCCATCTCCAACCCAGCACCAAATTTTGCACCATTTTGCACTAAATTTTGCACCAAATCTTGCACCAAACTAAAATTCATCTCCAACCATTACACCAAAAATTACACCAAATGAACAGTATTTAACCATTTTCTTCCATTTTTTTATTCTTTATAATCTACTTAGTTGAAATATTATTTATTTAATTATTTCAGAAATACATAAATTACTAAATAAATAATTAATTAATCGTGTTTGATGTATTTTTAATTATTTTCGTCTTTTAATTAATTAATTAATTATTATGTCTTACATTTAAAATTTATTTTAAACACAAATAATTATTAATATTAATAAAAATAATAATAATTTATTATATTAAAAAATATACAGCACAAATTACATAAATACCCTCAACAAATTTATTTAGGAAATGTAAAATAAGGGCAAAATTGGCATTTTACACTTGCACCATTTTGCACCAAAATGGTGTAAAGTTTGGTGTTGGGTTGGAGCAATTTTGCACCAAAAAATGGTGCAAAATGGTGCAATGGTGTTGTGGTTGGAGATGGCCTAAGGCCATCTCCAACCCAACACCAAATTTTGCACCATTTTTCACCAAATTTTGCACCAAATCTTGCACCAAACTAAAATTCATCTCCAACCATTACACCAAAAATCACACCAAATAAATAGTGTTTAACCATTTTCTTCCCTTTTTTTTATTCTTTATAATCTACTTATTTGAAATATTATTTATTTAATTGTTTCATAAATACATAAATTACTAAATAAATAATTACGCTAAATTACGGAAAAGATTAAATTCATTAATAAATATAAAAAATATAGAACAATTAATAAAAATACTACAACAACGAAAATATGAAATAATGCCATTAGAAAATAGTACAATACATTTCGAATTTGGATAGACGACATTACGAAGTCGCTAAATTTTTGCAATTTAATTTTCAGAATTCATATGTTCATCCCACAAATGATCGATTAATGCATTTCGAAGTGCAATGTGAGTTTTTTTATCCTTGATTTGTCTATGACGAGCAAGGAATTCCTGAAAATGTCGATTTTCGTCTTTAACTAACTCAACTTTTGGACTTGACGCTTCCGTCCATTCTTGAACTGGTGCATCAACATTACGTTCGTCCTCGATAATCATGTTATGCATTATTATGCACTTTTTTATGTATCTTTTTAAAAATAAAAATAAAATTAGATTATAGTATGTATGTAGCTCTATTTAATATATTTCGTGTTAACTTTAATAAATAATCGTGTTTGATGTATTTTTTTCGTCTTTTAATTAATTAATTAATTATTATGTCTTACATTTAAAATTTATTTTAAACACAAATAATATTAATATTAATAAAAATAATAATAATTTATTGTATTAAAAAATATATAGCACAAATTACATAGATACCCTCAACAAATTTATTTGGGAAATGTAAAATAAGGGCAAAATGGGAATTTTACACTTTACACCATTTTGGTGCAAAGTGAATAGTGTTGCACCATATTTGGTGCAACACTATTCACTTTGCACCATTTTGCACCAAAATGGTGCAAAGTTTGGTGTTGGATTGGAGCAATTTTGCACCAAAAAATGGTGCAAAATGGTGCAATGGTGTTGTGGTTGGAGATGGCCTAAGAGATGCAGTTTAGTATTCAATCCTAAAGTCAAATGGAACTTTCAAATGTTGAAAGAAAGAAAGTATGAATAATAGCTATGTTTTAACTGAAGAAACCAAAATGTGCCGGAAAAATATTCAATCAGCTTGCTGCAAAATGGTGCAAAGTTTGGTGTTGGATTGGAGCAATTTTGCACCAAAAAATGGTGCAAAATGGTGCAATGGTGTTGTGGTTGGAGATGGCCTAAGAGATGCAGTTTAGTATTCAATCCTAAAGTCAAATGGAACTTTCAAATGTTGAAAGAAAGAAAGTATGAATAATAGCTATGTTTTAACTGAAGAAACCAAAATGTGCCGGAAAAATATTCAATCAGCTTGCTGCAAAATGGTGCAAAGTTTGGTGTTGGATTGGAGCAATTTTGCACCAAAAAATGGTGCAAAATGGTGCAATGGTGTTGTGGTTGGAGATGGCCTAAGAGATGCAGTTTAGTATTCAATCCTAAAGTCAAATGGAACTTTCAAATGTTGAAAGAAAGAAAGTATGAATAATAGCTATGTTTAAACTGAAGAAACCAAAATGTGCTGGAAAAATATTCAATCAGCTTGTAGAAAACTCCCTTAACAGATATCATATGTACAGATTTCCCCGAATGTAATCCCCGAATGTAACAATTCTTGACAAAATCTATTAGATATTCTTTAAAAAAAAAATAAAAAAAAAATAAAAAAAGGCACACAAATTTTGTAATAGAAGGAATTGTAAGGATATGCAGGCATGTTCATATACTGAATTGGACAGGATAAAGGGAAGAAATCTCATATGTATCTGTCTTCTTTAATCTTGTCTAGTCCTATTCAGTCCCTCATACTTAACATTCACTAATGAATAACAATTGATGACTTGACCTGACTTGACTTTGTGCGTGCAAATCCCTCCTAAGTCTGTGCACTGCATCACTAATGAATAACAATAGATGACTTGACCTGACTTGACTTTGTGTGTGCAAATCCCTCTCAATTCTGTGCACTGCATATAACCCGAGCCAAAAACATAAAATCATGGAGCATATTGTGCATAGGATCTTCACAGGGAAGCCAAATTTTCATTCAATTAAAGACCACAAACCACAATCTGCAGGAAAGCCACAAACTTTCCTAGAAAAGTAGATAACCTGAAAACTATGAATTTTCTTGTTCAAGTCTACAATGTTTGTTTTTAGCCATTTGTCATGTTATTACACTGGTTCGTTATTCTTAATGAATACCGGACAATGTATAGACACACATTGTAGTTGGTAACAATTCGAAATGAATATACATATTGTTGTGATTTTACAAAAAAGAAAGCCAGGTCTGCCCAAATCTTTCATCTGGTGCACTCGCTTAACAACTTTTATTCAACTCATATAGCATACAACTAATATTTTTAACAACTAACTCGCAATTATGGAATTTGGTAGTTTTCCATTGACTTCTCCCTTATGTTCCTAAATTGGTGTGCACCTCGAGATGAGAAGCTGCCAGTCTTCAACTCTCTTACACTATATATTAGCTTAGCTAAGTTGGGGAGATAGTGCAATAAGGCATTGCTCAACCTTCCATTTCTAATACATCTTTAAGATTGAACAACAAAAACTAACAAAAGCAAAAATAAGTAATAATAGATTGCTTTTATCACGCAGTAATGAGTAAGAAAACACATCAATGTATCCTCTAACTTATAACTGGAATGCAACGACAGAAGAATCAATTATTTCTCTGATAAAAGAACCCCACTTTGTGCAAAATGCTTCTTCAATAATATATCAAACAGATGACTTAATTTATATAGAATACAATACACTTAATTTTACACTCATATTCAAGAACACCACATATATATAGTACACAAATTGATATAATTCATCAAAAGAGGGATTAATTAAAGCATTAAACCAAATAAAAACAAAGAAGTTCTCATAGTATGAGAAAGATCATCTATACCCATAAACCATTTGTGTATACCTCTCCTTGAACCACCTAAAGCTCTTCCTGATAGATCCCTTAACTTTCCCTTCAACAGTGTAGACTTTATAACTGGCAACCCTCTTTTTCCTCTGCAATTCTGGGTCATTAAAACTCCAATTCTTCGAAACTGCTCCATTTGTTGACTTCACTTTCTTGAATTTCCACTGATCTGCAGGCACAATATCCATCTGGGCATTGTTTTGTGCCGATGAAGATGATGCATATGATGCACTGTAGCACCTTAGATCTTGAAGCCGAGGTGGATTTGAATTGGGTTTGTAACTGGGAACTCCATGGGAGGTGTAGTCATAGTTGCTGGGATTGTAACTTTCAATTTGAAGGCTTTCATCGTTGAGGGATTTGGATCTGAAACCCTCCATTTTAGCTTTAGTTTTCTTAGGTTTGAGAGGTTTATCTGAATGTGTTTTGATTTTTGGGTGGCGGCTTCTGAAGACACAAGTGATGACGACGCCTGGGGGGCTGTTTTTAGCGTCGGTGGAGTGGTGACAACTACAGAGCTGAATGGTTGGGGGATTTGTATGTTGAAATTAGGGGTGCTAAATGGACTGAGCCATTCGTCAGCTCGTTGGTTTAGCTCATTTGGGTTCAATTAGTGACTCATTTAGGCTCGTGTAAGGTCGATTCAAGAATTGAGCCAATCACTCAAAAATTTTCACAAGTCGAGCCTTTCATATTACAGCTTAACGAGTCAAGCCAAGTATGAGTTCTTTTGGCTGACCCACCCACAAGCCTGGACCATGAGTATTGTCCATGAGTCGAGCCATAGAGCTTGATGGTTGGAAGGAGATGTGTGTATGTTGAAATTAGGGTGGCAAAAGGATTGAATCACTCGTAGGTTCAGTCAATAAGTCACTAAGCTTGTATAGGGATGAGTCATGGGCTGAGCTAATCTCTTAAAAAAAATTCTCTGTTCGTGAAACCCTACGATCTTAGACTAGGAGTACTGCCTATGAACCAGCTTGACTCATGGGCACAAAAAATATGTTTGACCTGTTCAAACTATCATTTTTTTCAAACAATATGATCATTGACCAACAATCGTAATATGTTTTTTTAAGGAATTTTTGTTTCCTATAAATACGCCCTCTCCACTTCATTTTTTGTCATGGCACATTTTTTCCACATTCTTAACATATAATTGTAATATGGGTAATTAGCGCAAAATGTTCATACATTTCAATATTATTGTGAAAATGGGTAATTGGTACAAAACGTCCATACCTTTCATTTTTTTGACATTTTTACTCCTACCTTCTACATTCTTGGTGCTGAACATCATTTTCACCAATTTTGAACGATTTTATCCTCCATTCAAATAAAAGAAAAGAAAAGAAAGGAAATAACAAATAACTAATTACAACTACAGTCCTCAATTCTTAAAAAAACTACAAATGACATCCAGTTTCTTTTCCTTATTCTTCAAGTGTGTAAGCAACACCATTTGACTCCAAAATTTGGCAAATGAGTGCTGTAATTTCTAAAATTGAACTATTTCCCGATTTTTTTTGGGCTTGAATTTGAGTTTCCCCATGTTGATTCATATGTTAGGACACATTAGACTCACGAATTGATAGAGAATTATCCTCGTCGCACGATCGTACTCCGTGAGGTCAAATCCAAAATTGTTGCATTTGGCTGATTTAATTGAAGCAATTAAATCCATATCCAACGTCGTTTGACCTTCAATTGCATGCTGATTAATGCAATTTGTAGATTGGGGTCGTCGAGGGATGCCAATTGAAAGGGGATCGGACCAGTTTCTATACGTGTTCACTGTTTTTGGACAAATAGCCATTTTCAACGCCAAATTGGACAAAAACCCATATGCTCAGTAGATGCGTCATGATGAGTGAGTGAGGCAAAAATTATGGCAGCCAATTGTAGGAATTTGTTATCATGTCAATTACTATTCATTGAGGAAGCATTTCATTATTTCCCATTTGACCCTTACATGCATATCGATGTGCCATTCACTCCTAACCGGGTACAAAAATTGTTTTTCCTTGGGTAATTGATTTTGTGTTTTATACAAATCTATTTTTCTTCATACGGAGTAAAATGAAAAAATAGTTTGTTTATTTTTTTTAGATAATAATTATTGTTTTCAAAATTTACCTATTGGCTAAATATGCACTAATTTTCAGAATTATTGACATGCTTTTAATTATGTAATCTTTAATTGGTTATAAATTCTAAAAAAAAAAAATTAAAGAAGAGCCAATATCAAAGCAAAACAAGTCCGTAACGAAATCAATCACTCAAGGAATGAATTTGGAAAAGAAGAAGAATACATAAAACAAATCAATGTTATTTCGCCTCAATTTTATGTTACTATTAAAAGAAGAGAATAACTATAATTGGGATTTGGAAGGGAAAACAACGGATTTTTACCTCGAAAATGATGCCCACCCAACAACATCCGTTGTTTTCCCTTCCACATCCCCAATTATAGTTATTCTCTTCCTTTTACGGCATCTTTTATCTATCGTTCTAAATATTTAACCTACATCAAAAAAATAATTGACGTCATACACTTTTTTTTTAAAAAATGATGTAAATTATATTGAGAAATTATCACAGAAAAATAATAACATTAAGAAAATAATTGATTTTTTACGAAAAAAGACGAGTTATATGCATTTTTGAACACACACGTTTTATATACGTTTAACTATTTTCGATATTCATTTAGATCATTCGATGTGTCTATAATATAGTTCTCGAAATGAAGTTTGAGAGAATATAGAACATTTATGGATTCGATTACTGTATAATTGTCGATGAATTTTTAAAATTAGTTTGTTACCAAAATTTCTAATTTTTTGAATGATATTTCTTTTTACACCAAAAATAATTTAAAAGTTTGTTAGGAAATTTTCTAAATCATGTCAACAATTTTATTAGATTATTTACAAAATTAATTTTGTAGTAGTAGTGATATATTAATTAAGTGGAAAAATTAAAATAGGATTGAAGGATAAAACGGGAAAATAAAAATACTTCACAAATGAACAGTAAATAGCATATTAATAATGATTTTCATGAGTGAAGAGGAATATTATGGGATATTCAAGAATAAAATAGGGATTATTTCTTATTTCATAATCATTTTTTTATGTCATTTTCTCTTTGGGTCAATAAGTGCAGTTTTACAATATTCGGAATGGTTTCATTTAAAAATCACAATAGAAGTTCTTACAATTTATATCTCTTCAATTTTATTTGCTGATTGGATTAATAGAAATTCATTTGGAAAAAAATATTTTATTACTAATTTATTTGTTTTTCATTTTTTTTATTCCAATTTATAAATTACTCTTCGAAAAGTGAAGGAAGTAAAACCTTTTGAAGCTCATTCAATTATTTGTCCCTATTTTTTTCTAACAAAATAAAAGAGGTATTGTTCATCCCCTTTTTTTTCTACACGGCCTTATTGGTTCTCTACAATTAATGTAAATGTGTTAGGTATTTTTTTTTTGCCTTTCACGGAACTCCCCCATCTCTTCACAATTGTATCCCTCTTTTATTTTGTTAAGATTATTTCTTCTCACCGTCATTTCTCTCTCTTCTCACCATCATTTCTCTTCCACTCTTCTCACTGTCATCTCTCTTCCTTTATTTGAAGAATCTTCTCCCCATCATTTCTCTACGTATTTTGAAGAATCGATTTTCATGGACCTTCAAAGAATTAGGTCATATTCTGTAAGTTTAGTCATCAGTGCCTCGATTTCTTCTTTTTTTCGTATATATCTCTCTTTCAGTCTTGCAACCATCTTCTCATCATCATTTTTCTACGCATTTTGAAGAATCAATTTTCACAGGGATTGGAGGAATTGGATTCTTCAACTTTGACGGATCTTGGAGGAATTGAGTCATAAATTTGTAAGTTTAGTCATCAATGCTTCGATATCTTATTTTTTTCGTATATTAATTTATCATTTTTTAGATTTTGGATTCGCATTGTTTAATTTATGCTGCTTTCAGGGTTTTTCCTTTTTCTTTCTTCATTTCATCTTTGAAGGAGCCATCCCCAAAATACGTGCAGTAATGTTTAAGGATCGTTAGGTTACTATGAATTTGTTTTTCAGTTTCTTCAAATGTGGTTTTCACTATGAAATTCCTTTTTCAGCCTGCACGCTTTGATCCCAAAATATGTATAATAGCGCTTTGGGAACTGTTAAAGAATTTATGGTGTTGTGTATGTGTTCTTGACTTCTTTCAAATGACCTGTGAATATGTTTTTTCTTGTTAAGCATGAGTTTAACGCCAAATTTTTTTACCTTCTCTTGCAAAATTGAATTCTAACTGCCTAAAGTTTGTTATTTTGATGGAACATCTTTTCTAGACTTTCTTTTTGTTCCTATGGATTTGATCTTCACATTGGATGAGTTCATTGTATGCTTTCTTTAAGTTTTTTCCATTAATTTTCTATATTTATGTGAATATAGTGATTGAGTTCATATTTCGATTTTCTGTATGCATATTTTTAATTTAGTTAACATCCTATAGCTACTCTGTTTATGGATATACTTTTTTTTTTCATATATTCATAATTGATAAAAAATCATAAAATGTTTACATATTTTTCACATGATGGTTTTTTTTTTTTTATCCTTTTTCATTTGGTAGGTTATTCTTTAATGTCACCAACAACTTATAGATTTGTCATTCTATTTTGTAGTATGTACATGGGACTTTTGCTCGATTGTATCTACCAAAATTTGTTCAGAGTGCTCAAATCCATGATAGTTCACATCATAATTGACTAGTACGAACGAATCTAAGAACCAATGGTTATGTGTAGCGGTTCACCATTGGTTGGGCGGATTATGTGAGGGAGAAACGGCTTCAAATAGGTGACACATGTGTATTTGAACTTATGAACGATGAAATCCCAATGTTCGTGGTTTACAAAATGTGTCGCACTGATGGAAGTTTCACTCTTACATAAATTTTACATCTTCATTCGAACTTTCATGTTTACTTATTATGGAACATCTGTTCTATTCTCTTACGTATGAACACTATATAACTAGATCCATTGGGATTTTGACTTATAATTCGCTTGTGTTCTTACTTCAAGATTGCACCCAATTTATAAATTCTGTTAATTCTAAATAGGTTATAACTTATAATTAACCTATATGTTGATATTCTTCATTTGGACTTCATGCAATACTACATTATCATCATTTGAAGACTAGCATCCTTCTAGCTAAAATTATTCCAAGCAAGTAAACAATTTTATGATTTGTAATTTTATAAACAATATACAAAATTATTTATTCCAACTCTTAGTATCTCCACTTTTTTCTGCAGATACATCTAGGGAGTCAAATATTAGCAATAATGCTTGAGC